ATGAGAACAATGTCAATACAAATACATATGCGTAGCGTTCGAAAGGCATTCGAATTACAAGCAAAGGATACTAACTACTTACTATAATATAAATACACATATTTAACAGATATTAGTGTATATATATGCATATATGTACATGCGTGTATGTATGTACAGGCATCCATAGTAGATAAACCCAAGCCAGTTAAGCCCAGATAATTTTGATAAACATTTTATTAATTTATCTAATTCTCATCAATTTCTTTACTCTCCACACAAAAGTTAACAAGAAATCAATGAAATATTTAGCTCAACAAATAATAAAGTAAAGCGTATCGGCATGCCGAACCCTGAATACCCTTGCAGAATTGTTAATATCAAATTTATTTTTACTCTGCACTCTGCATTCAAGTCCGATTTACTGAAGTTCAAAGTCTAACTCTTTGCCTCTTGTTATTATTGTTGATAAGTTCACTCTAGATATCTCCGAAAACAAACTAAATTTCTCATACAAAAATGCAAGTTTCAATTGAAATAGTGTTTCATTCCCACGTGTTTCAAGAAAATTGATTTTCGTTTGTCTTCTACATAAGATGAAATATTTATATTAATATCTGCAAAAAAAACATTTTCCATAACAAATTTTTGGAATTTCGGCAGCCGAACAGTTACATTGTTACGATTCCACATGTTCCAAAAGGGGAAGTGGAATGACTATTAGCATACAGATAATGTCAGTTAAATAATTGCATTGTTCCGATTCCACCCGTTCCAAAAAAGAAACGAATGAACGAATATGAGTACACCAATTTTCATAATAACCAATTTTACGAATAATGGCAGTTAAACCCTAAAGTGTTCAGATTCCACTTGTTCCAAAGAAAGGAGAAGACAAGCAAATGACTATTAGCATACAGAAAATTAAAGTCCACTTGTTCTAGATTAAGAAGAAAAAATGAATGACTATTATAATACAGAAAATGACAGTAACATTGTTCCGATTCCACTTGTTCCACAAAAAAAAGGAAGTATGTATGAATATGTCAAGCGATCTATTAGAATACAGACTGCAAGGGCATAAAAAGCAAATAATTATGATAATAATGCATATTTATATTATGATCTAACACACACACACACACTGACACACATCTACAGAAAAGTATTAGAACACGTGCAATTTAATTTTGTTTCAAGCGTCAGCAACAACCAATTTTTTTAATAGTTATAAAAGAAGAAAACAAACGCAGAAATCAAGTATAATATTATATGAAAAGCGCAAAAGGAAAGCTGCGAAACTATCGCAAAGAAGCAAACGAAGCAGAAATTCCATGTAAATTATGCGTAAAACAATAAATTAAAAACAAATGGAAAGCAAAAAGAATATAACATTACAAATTAATATACATACATTATATATATAATATTTATATATATATAATTAAAGTAAATACGCCGCAGCAATTTAAAAAAAAAAAAATGAAAAAAAAACCAAAGCAAGAATAAAATTAAAAAAAAAAACGTTGTTAAGATTCTAAAAGTGAAATGTTTTATAAATAGTTAAACCAAAACAAAAAAGCGAAACAAAAAAAATTATTATATATTAAATATGAGAACAACAACTAAGATACAAACAGACACAACAACAACAACACTAAGAACAATAAGTAACAACACACAACAGAAATACCAGTAAAAAAATACCAAAATGAGCAAGCACAAAATTTACCGTTCGACTTTCAAAAAATCTCAATAAATTTTTACAAGCCATGTTAAATTGTAAGCGAATCGGATCCAAAATTAAGCAGCTTCGAGAAATGATATTGTTAGTTCTCCTAACTAGGTAAATGTAATACATAAATGACAAAGGCATCAGTTGAGAAGGCAGATCAAATCTTAGTACAACACGCACACACACACACACACACAAACAACACACACAACAAACACACACAGACACAGACAGAGGCAGACACACGTTACTTTATGAACATACAAGCGAATTAAATGAAAAAGTATATAAAAATAAATTATGCTAAAAAGAACAACTTACAAAAATACAACTCAAATTGCAACGCATGACTTTTTATTCAAACTAACATTAAATCCCAAAACCAGTACCAGCTGATCACGCATACATATGTATATAATGGACGGCAAAACGTAAATAAGAGGGGAACTTATTTTACCAACCAACAGCTTTTCCTAGAGCCATTTGGAGGATCTTATGATATTGTAATTAAATTTGTGAGCAGATATCTTCGAAAATATATACACACATATATTCTTGATCAGATGCAACACACTTTTCGATATAGTGTCGATTGTCGATATATAGTATGTTCGTGTGTTTGCTTTTCAAAAAACGTTACTTAGGTTCATCTTTCGGTTGCACGCTGTACCTGTGTTGGACTCAGCCGGATCGTGCGGTATATAGGCATAGATGCCATCGTTCCGATCGGTCGAAAACTAAGTTCTTGCTTGAAAAACTTTTGTCTCTCTTCTACATATATAGATATATATCTATATATTTACATAGCAATATATCTATATATACATATCTATCCTTAACCCCCTTAATTATACCCTGAACCCATTAAAATAGGTAAAAGGGGTATAATGTGTTTGTGCAAATGTGTGTAACAGGCAGAAGGAAACATCTCCGACCCAATAAAGTATATATATTCTTGATCAGCATCAATAGCCAAGTCAATCTAGTCATGTCCGCCTGACTGTCCGTCCGTCTGTCCGTATGCATGAACCCAAGGGTCTCAGAACCTATAAGGGCCAGAGACTTGGAATTTGGAACATAGGTCCTAGTAGTAGTACGAGTTTGTTTCCAATATTCGATAACTCGACCCGTTTCAAAGTAATCGATATCAAAATCGTATTTTTTGAGCAAATCTCGCATCTTGCATTTCATCGCTATCGCCACCTCCCCGCTACCACCATTATCGGATCAGTACTATCGATTGGCATTCAAAATTCTAATTCTTAATTTTTACCCAAATTCAACAACAAAGCAAAGGGTTTCATAGCAATTTGTGAAAATCGGAGTCGGTTCGAAAATCAAAACTTTTTTGATGATTTTTTTGGAATATCTCGTGTTAATACCGTCTTATATTGAAATCGAATTCCTTTTTAAATTCGTGCGGATCCCTACTTTCAAATAGCATTCGAACATATTAAATATCTATGGGTTAAAAAAAGTTGTTGACCAAAAAACAATTCGTTTGTAAACTCAACCTTTTTGATGTTTTTTTTGGAATATCTCGGCCAAATAATGTCAGATTTTGGAATTTTATACCATTTGGGACTCGTAAGGATCAGTACTTTGGATTGGCATCAAAAAAATGAAAATCTAAATTTTGACACAAATCAGCCAAAAAGCAAGGGGTTACATCACGTTTTTCCTCCAAATCGGGGTCGGTTCGAAAATCAAAACTTTTTTGATGTTTTTTCTTTATTATCTCCGGTAAATATCGTCTTATTTTGATATTTTACACCTTTTTGAATTCGTACGGATCCGTACTATCAATTGGCATTCAAACAACTTATAAATCGATGGGTTAAAAAAAGTGGTTGGCCAAAAACAGATTCGTTTGTAAAGTCAACCTTTTTTGATGTATTTTTGGAATATCTCGGCCAAATAATGTCCGATTTGGGAATTTTATACACTCGTAAGGATCAGTACTTTCGATTGGCATCAAAATAATGAAAATTTAAATTTTGACCCAAATCAGCCAAAAAGCAAGGGGTTACATTACGTTTTTCCTCAAAATCAGGGTCGGTTCGAAAATCAAAACTTTTTCATGATTTTTTTTTATTATCTCAGGTAAATATCGTCTTATTTTGATATTTTATATATTTTTGAATTCGTGCGGATCCGTACTATCAATTGGCATTCAAACAACTTAAAAATCGATGGGTTAAAAAAAGTGGTTGGCCAAAAACAGATTCGTTTGTAAAGTCAACCTTTTTTGATGTTTTTTTGGAATATCTCGGCCAAATAATGTCAGATTTGGGAATTTTATACCATTTTGGACTCGTAAGGTATCAAAATAATGAAAATCTAAATTTTGACCCAAATCAGCCAAAAAGCAAGGGGTTGCATTGGGTTTTTCTCAAAATCGGGATCGGTTCGAAAATCAAAACTTTTTTTGATGATTTCTTTTGATTACCTCAGGTAAATGTCGTCATATTTTACTATCTTATACCTTTTGGAATTCGTACGGATTCGTACTATCAATTGGCTATCAATTCAATCTAATATTGGGGGCAACCTTTTTTTATTACTTGCTTAGGAATTATACTTCTTCTGCAGAAGGAGTATTGTGTCACACAAGACTCTCTTGCATCCAGTTTGCTAAATAACTTTGTAAGTCAAGTGCCTATTATATACCAATTTCCAAGGCTTACATTCAATTTTTATAGCTTAACACATTTAAGCAAATAAACTTGATAATATGGTTCTCTGCAGACCATTAGCTCCTTTCCATTCGAAAACTTTTTGGGACATCTAAAAAAAATGTGAAAAATTCGGACTACTCCTTGGAGCAATTATACAATCGAGCTGTAGAGCTCAGTATTTTAAAAGTCGTCCTCAAAGAAAATAACTTTAGATTTCAATGGGTCCAACGTTAAAATTTCATACAAACATTGGTAATTTGACCTAAAAGATCGCGATAGTTTTTGTATTGTAAAGGATGCCCACATATCTAAAATATATAAAATGATCGAAATTGAAAATAAAATTATGCATAGCCGATTAGTTTTTTTTTTTTTACCCATAAATTCCACCTTTGTATGCAGTTCTTCAAAACAACTCAATTTCGACTCGAAAGTAGTAACGTTGAAAAAATATCAGGCAAAATATTTCATTTTGAAGAATTGACTTAATTCAGATAACAATGAGCTCGTTGCATACTTTTTTTTGTGGATGTTAGCGAAAACGGAGCAGGCTACAAAAAGAGTCCAAATTACAGTCAAGCAAGTAACATATTGAGATAATTTTACATTTTATATATATTCTAATCATTTTTATTTCATCTATATTCAGACTTATTTAATAAAGTAAAGGGACAAGTTTGCGGAAAAGCGCACAAGGCGAAATTGACGCTGCCAAGTGGGCCAAACGTAACTCTTGAGGGCTTTAAGGCATTTGAAGAATGTCTTAAGGAAGAGAAGTCCTTTGAAAATTTGGTAAGCAAACTTTAAATTAACTTATATTACTATACACTTATAAAACTCACATTTCTCTCTAGGTCATTGAATCAGTCGCAAGTGCTGAAAAGACGTTCGACAAATTCATGAGGAGCTCCTGGCGCCAAATAATAACGGATGATGTTGCAAATCAAATGTTAGAGGCCTTCAAACCACATTAGCAATACGAAGTCAGCATTACTTTTATAACCTGTATATGGGCAAATTAATTGAATTTTGTTATTGTCTACAAATGCATTTGAACAGAAGTTTGCGCTGGAAGACTGCGATTTCGACCGCGTAACCCAAAAATACTTTCAACACGCGCAGGATAGAGTGGCGCGCTTAGAAAAGGCTGATGCCAACAAAATAAAATGCAATTGTTATTTTCTATCGTTAATAGTTTTATAATTTTCTGTTTGGCTGGCTCGAGGTCCGGGGTTTTTTTATCCAAGACAAAATGAAAATGCAATTTGTTTGAAATTTAACCAATATATAAAAAAATATTTTTTCAAATAAAACTATTTTATTTATGTATTAACTTTTTTTATAATTATAAGATTGCTGAAGAAATGCGTTTGAAATTTTAAGTAAAAGAAAATGTTATTTATTTTTAAAATAATAAAATTTGAACTGAAAATGAATATTAAAAGAAACAACAACAAACATTTTTATGGGAACAAATTGGGTGTATAACTAAAAAAAGTTTCGTAAACCATATTTCATGCGAGCCGTCTGCCTTATCTTTTAAGAGACTTTTTATACCCTGAACCCATTAAAAATGGGTAAAAAGGGTATAATGTATTTGTGCAAATGTATGCAACATAAAGTATATATATTCTTGATCAGCATCAACAGCCGAGTCGATCTAGCCTTGTCCGTCTGTCCGTCTGTCTGTCCGTCTGTCCATATCAGAACCTATAAGAGCTAGAGACTTGAAAGTTTAGCTGAAGGTCCTGCTAGTGCCCGCGCAGATCGAGTTTGTTTCCGATATTCGATAACTTGCCCGTTTCCAAGTAATCGATAAAAATCGATATCGAAATACTGTTTTTTGAGCAAATTGGGTAACTAATACGAGCTAGAGTCACCAAACTTGATATGTTGCTTCTAGAATAGTATATATATATATATCAGTATCTTTCATTTTATACCCATCACCACCTCCCCGCTACCACCACAAAGCTATAAATCAAGTAAATAAGCCTATTTAGATATGCTGCCCACCAATATAAGCCACAAATTGAATGCAATTGTGAGAATACACGAATATTTTAAAGTACAATAAGATCTACAAAATTGCAAGAATTTCTGTATACACACATTCATGCGCGACTTCTATGAATTCTATCAACAGCATTGCAATTGCGATTGTATTGTTTTCTGTTCTGCTATTTTAATTTGTTTTTTTCTCATTAAGACTCAATAATTGGTGTGGCTGTTGGGTAGAGGCGGCGGCGGCAAGAAGTGCGGTTAGTTGCTAGCTCGAAACCTGCCAAGGAAAGGTTTTTTTTTTTAAATTATCTTTATTACTTAAACAAACGAGCGCGATCTGCATTTGGTGTTGGAAGAAGAGGGTTCAGGGTATCCTCTAGTCGGGAGCTCCCGCCAACTTTCACTTCCACAAACTGAACGACATATGAATCATATTGCTATCATTTCCCGATTCGATTGTGAGATTTTTGTGGGGTTAAGTTTCGCATTTTACCAGTTTGTGATATCTTTTGCGACAGTTTGGTCCGCTGGGTATCAACAGCATTGCGATTGTATTGTTTCTTGTGCTGAGTGTATGAGCTGCTATTTTAATTGGTTTTTTTTAGGTAGTGCAAGTAGCGTGGTCTGTTGCGAGTTTCGAATCCTATCGAGGGAACTATTTTATTACTGCTCAAGCAAACGAGCGCGTAGCGTGAGCTGCATTTGGTGTTGATAGAAGAGGTTTCAGGGTATCCCCTAAAGCCTCTTACTTGATTTGTCTATATTCTTCTTGAATATTTACTATTAAATGTTAGTAATAAACTGAGAGTTTGACAGAAGCCATTGTTATTCAATATTGCTCTCCTATTCAGTGTTAGGGTTTCTTGGTGTGAGAAAAAAAACACTCCATGTCGAGCATGACCCGAGTGTTATGTATACCGTTCCGTTTCGTATTAAGTGTTGCATAATAGTACTAAAAGTCAGAGAAGAACATTGAATGAGAAGAGCACGAATAGTGTGTTACACGAGGACAAAAGTATTCCCTTTTCGAATTTGGCACTTGAAAGAAAATAGTGCTAATATGTTATCGCAACAAGAAACGATTTTTTCGCCAGTAATATCACACTTGAAATTTTATGCAACACTTTTCGATCATCACAATAAAAAGGCTGGTAACAATGTTTATTACAATGATATTTATCGCTCAACTATAAGACATGCATCGATTGGTACCGATATTTACACTCAGCGGTAAGTTCAAATATAAACTAACATATGCAACGATTACGATTTGCGGATCAATTTTGATCTCTAAGCTTAACCAATTATCGTACTTTTTAAAATCGATAACCATAAATACCCATATAAGCTAAAAAAAGCAGCTTATAGAACATAGAGCTATCGAAGGCCAGATTTAACGATCTTAAGATAGTATCTATATATATATAGTATATAGGCAGCTTTGGAAGGCGTAAGGCTCGAAATTTAAAAGTGGGGTTCTTATCAATATCGTGGTATATTTTTAATTTATCCAGCTCTACAACTGTTATGCTTAAGAAACCATGTCTAAAAATTCGATAATTATCGATATTGTGCTGGGAAACTATCGACAAACTAAAAATGATGGGGTCGTTCATGTAAGAATATATATTTTAAATTGTATTATAACAATACTCCTAACAATTTCGATATTTATCGATATTATGGCGAAAGAAGTCTTGAGGTGGGAAATTATCGACAAACTAAAAGTGATGGGGTCGTTCATATAAGAATATATATTTTAAATTGTATTATTACAATACTTCTAATAATTTCGATATTTATCGATATTATGGCGAAAGAAGTCGACATTTTAAATTATTTTGGTAATACTCCTTATAAAGAAGCTTGTAATATATCCTACTTGACAAATGTCGAGCTATGCTTTAGAAGCTTTGTCTGAGAATTCGATATTTATCGATATTATGGGGAAAAATTCGATATGTTTTGTGCGTGGTTTTCCAAATGGACGATCAGACAGACTGACAGAAGGGCATGACTAGAACAATTCGACTCGACGTCCTGATCACGAATATATATATAATTTATGAATTAGGAGTTTGCACAAATCCATTAAACTCTGTTAACCCATTTTCAATGGAGTCTGTATTTAATAACCCTACCGATAGTTCCTTTATGGAGATTCATTTAGAAGCTAAATACGTCGGTTTATGTTATGCTTAGCATGCTAATAATTTATTTAATTGGTCACATTATAAACTTAACGGCTAAACTTATTGCATAGAGAACTGTCGGTCAACAGCGAAACGATGTTGTCCGAATTCCATTCAAATTCCATTTAACGATTATTTACAGTGCAAGGTGAAGTTTTTTGGTACGACGAGTCTGGGGCCCCAAAATGCGTTTGGGTTCTGGCCAGGACATTTTTTACTCGACGAAAACGCTGAGCAGCCCCACTGTGCGCTGCAGCAGAGCTGATCTCTGTTTATCATATCACATTGTGTTCACTTATAGCTGCGTCCCATCTCCCGACCCCCGCCCAGAATGCCTCAGGGACTCCGCTGCAGGCGTGCACGTCGCTGACCCTTTGCCGTGGCCTTTACCTGGCCGGCGGAAGGCGGCCGATATGTGGGCAGCTCAACGAAAACGGGCCGATACTCGGGTGCCTCGGGTCGCATAGAGCGCGACTCCGTCTGCAGCATATTTGTGTAATAATTGAAGTCGTTTTGGTCTGGCTCCCGGATGGCCAACGGAGCCGCCTGCCGCTGCTGGGCGGCACGACCGCGTGCCCCATTCGAGCGCAGCAAACGGAACAGATTGCGGCGTGCCGCCTGATCCGTTGACTCCACCGAATCCGAACTGCGGCGCTGCTGGCCGCTGCTGCCGCTGCTGCTGCTGCTGCTGTTGAGGAAGGCGGCCTCCTCGTAGCGTGGTATGTAGCGAGGTTTGCGGGATTCGCCGGGTCGGGCCAGTTCACGATCGTGTGGCGTCACATTGAAGCCAAAGAAGCGCGGCGCCTGCACAGATATGAGCGGCAGCAGAGTCTCCCTTGCGTAGCGCTCGGCGCGCTGCAGCAGCTCGCCCAGCCGGAACGGCAGCAACTGCACCGTTTGCGGCTCCTCCGCGCCGCTGGAGAGCTGTGCCATCATTTTGGGCGGCGTGGCCAGAGCCGGAGTGTCCGTGGAGCTGGCGTTGGCATTGCCATCCACTGGTTCGGCCAGCTGCAGATCCTTGCCCTGTTTGGCGCGCGGTGTGGTCGCCTTGAGCACCGGCTCCACAATCTCCGACGTGTTGGCCGGATCGTGTAGATTGCGTCCACGATTGACAGCCAGCCGTCGATCCTTGAGCACCGGCTCGAATATCTCATTGGTCGGCTGTTCGCCGGGCGCCAAAGCATCGGACAGACTGCGACTGGACTCGGCCGGCTCCGCTTCGGTGTTGTCCTTGTCCAGGGAATTGCCAACCAGTATGGGCTGCCAGGGCAGCTCGGCCGCCTGGTCCAGCGGATAGGTTTGATTCTGTGCAAGCTTGAAGCTGGTGCCCAAATTGAATATGTCCTTGCGCTGCTTCACACTCTCGACCCCATCAACGCTGGCGCTCAGACCGGACGCCTGTCCACTGGAGTCCGACTCGGGTGCATCCGTGCTCGTCGGCAATCCAGCCGGCGGCTGAGTAGTATACGCGCCATAGTCATCCTGGTTGTCCAGCTCACAGTTGCCCGCCTGCAGGCGCATGCGCACGGGACTGCCGCTGCTCAGCTTGGTGCTGGGCCGGCAGAGCGAGTGGCTGCGTCCAAAGCTGTCGGTCAGCACCACCTTATCAATGTCCCAGTGGGGCAGGCCCTTCGACAGCCAGCCGCTGTACGACTTGTAGTGCAGGCTGAGCGTGGTGGGAAAGCCCAGCGCCGGATGAGGCACAATTATTTTGGACACAATGTCGCCGGCAAAGAACTCCGCATCGTCTTTTCTGTAATTTGACAATGGGCAAAGCATGAAAACGAGCGACAGTTAAAATATGGCTAAACCTTATTTTTTTGGTAAATTGCGACAAGTTATGGTTTACTTTGCCCATGATAAACTTGATTCTCTGTTGTGCCCATAACTTGCGCAACTCTTAACCACTTTTAATGCTCTTAACGCTTAAGAAAATCTTATTAAGAGACCTACGAATAAATCACATGCTATAAGTGTGTCTGAACGTTGCTTGAAGTCATTGAAAAATGTTGTTTTTTT